GCGTGAGCCTCAAGCAGATAGCTTCTCCCCGGTGAGCCTCAGTTTCCTCATCTGCAAGGTGGGCTGATCATTCAGATCCTGACAAGATGAAAGGATATGCTTTTAGTCTTCACCCAGTGTTCCTGGAGCATCTCCTCCATGGTTGGCACCAGAGGAGGAATGAGGGAGCTGCGGTCACAGGACGGCCTGGCAGGGGAAGGTGTGGCCTGAACCAGACCCATGTCTCAGCAGCTGGCTAGCTCTGAGGTTGAACAGACCTGAGTAGCCTCACCCCTCTCCTGTGCTACTCAGAGCAGGCTCGGACATAGGAACTGCTTATTCTTTTTAAAAATAATTTTTAAATAAATATATTTATGTGGCTGTGTCAGGTCTGAGTTGCAGCTCGTGGGTTGGGTTGTGCAGGATCTTTTGTTGTGACGCACAGGCTTTGCAGCTCCACAGCACGTGAGATCTTCGTTCCACACCCAGGGATTGAACCCCATCTCCTGCATTGCGGGGTGGATTCTTAGCCACTGGACCACTAGGGAAGTCCCAGGAATTGCTTATTCTTGAACATCTGCCCTCAATCCAGGGCCTTCTGTAGCCCTGATGGGAGGGGCCATTAACTGAAAAGCAATCATGAGGATATGAGGCATGTATTCATGAGTAGTAATGTTCTGAAATGAATGGGAAATGTATGCAAGTTCAGTTGCACCAGGGTCCACCTCCCATGAAGAGCTGGGGGCAGGCAAAGGCGTCTGTGGGCCTTGCTCAGTGGTACTGATTGTCCCAATGATGTCCATCATCTCTGAAGTTCGGCAGGGTCATGGTGCCCACCCTCACAGCCAGGCTTCACAGGGTACATGGCAAGGGAGGGACAGAGCCAAGATCTGAACCCACGCGTCTGCTTCCCAAAGCCTGGATTCTTATCCTCCCGGGTTACAAACAGTAGAAATTCCAGCATTTTTGCATGATCCTATCCTGACTTTTCTAATAAGCCTTCATAAATTTGAGTCACCAGTACTTACAGGAAAAGAAATAAAAAGGAATCCAAACTGGAAAAGAAGTGAAACTGTCAATGTTTGCAGATGGCATGATACTATACGTGGAAAATCCTACAGACGCTACCAGAAAACTACTAGACTTTATCAATGAATTCAGTAAACTTGCAGATACAAAATTAACACCCAGAAATCTCTTGCATTCCTATACACTGACAACAAAAGATCAGAAAGAGAAATTAAGGGAACAATCCCATTTGCCATCACATCAAAAAGAATGAAATACCTAGCAATGAACCTACCTAAGGAGACAGAAGCCCTCTACTCTGAAAACTATGACATGCTGATGAAAGAAGTTGAAGGAAACACAAACAGATGGAAAGATATATCATGTTCTTGGACTGGAAGTGTCAATATTGTCAAAATGACTATACCACCCAAGGCAATCTACAGATTCATTGCACTCCCTATCAGACTCCCAATGGCGTTTGTCACAGAACTAGAGCAAAAAAATTTTAATTTGTACGGAAACACAGAAAGACCTCAACCAACCAAAGAAGTCTTGAGAAAGACAGACGGAATTGGATGAATCAGACTCCAACCTCAGACGATACTACAGAGCTCCAGTGTTCACATATATTGTTTTGTTCATCAGTGCACTTAATTGACATTCATAAGATGCCTACTGTGTGCCCATACTTAGTGAGCACCTCCTATGGGCCAGAGCACTGCCACACCACTCATTCACTGAACATATGTTTATTGAACACCTACTGTGTGTCAGGACCCTGTTCTAGGCACAGGGGTAGAGTAGTGAATGCAACAGACAAAAACACTTACCCTCCTGTAGTTCTTATTTCTGCATCATTGCCAGGTTGACCTGGTTTCCTCCCATGATACAGCTGAAGAAACTGAGGCCTAGAGAAGTTAGGTGACTGTCCCAAGGCCAGCAGGTGGCAGAAGCAAACTAGACTCCAAGGGACAGATGTCACCTGGGCAAGGTGACATCAAAGAGACAGTGTATCACAGTAGAGTCCAGAGGAAGTTCCCAGAGAAGGGTGCTGCCTGCCGAGGGGTTGGAACCCCATCTCTGCCACTCCTAACTGTGTGTGCTTGCCGTGGCCACTCCGCCTCACTGTGCCCAGAGCCACAACCGCTACCCCCAGGGTGGCCCTCGAGGTTATAATGGACGTGGTGGTCAGCTCCGTGCAGGCAGGTGGCCCATCTGCTTGTTCTGAACTGTATCCATGTGCAGAGAACCTGGCACACAGTAGGTGCTTGGCCAGGGGCAACCGTTAAGGGCCCAGCCTGGCCCCCATGCAGCTGGATGACCCAAGAACCTGCCTGCTGGCTCCTTATCACACAGGTATGTGAGAAGCCTCTTCCTCTTTGGACAGACCAAGGGGCATGTGCAGAAGTTCCCACCATGTTTCTGGAGTCCCTTCTTAGAGATCACAGTACTCTGTCCAGCTCGTGTCCACACCCATCTCCCAGTGGCTCAGAGCACCTCCTATCCATCACCTCTTGCCCTGGCCAAGGCTGTGGGAGGCAGGCACAGTGACATCTTGATTAGCCGCCATCCATCCATCATGCGATGCCAGTGGAAGGTTGCTGCATCTGAGCTGAGTTGTCCCAGGAGGACAGCTGGGGGGAAATGAGTCTTCCCAGGTTGTGTCTGAAGTGTCCAGAGCCAGGGCAGGAACGGAGAGTATCACCCCGCCCCAGGCAGCAGAGCTAGGACTCTCACCCTTACACCTGCAAGAGGGCGTCTGAATTCAGATTCAGTTCTGTGGTCCCCACACAGAAAGGAGGGGACACAACACACTTCTCCCTTGGAGTGGCAGAGCAGACAGGAAGTAGAAAAAGATGCTACAGAGATGGGGTGGATTTCTGAATGCTAAACCCAGGAGGCAGCAGTCAGCCAAGACGAGGCATCTTTCTTTCCTTCTCCTGCCGCCCCTCCCCATCTCTCCTCCAGCCCTTCTCTCTCTACCCTCACTCGTACTCCTCACCCCGTCCCCACCCTCCTCCCCGCCCCCGGAAGTCTACACTACTGGGCCTGTGTTCTAGTTTGAAGCCCACCAGCTGAGACTCTGGAGGCACCAGCCAGACCACTGCAGAAGGTGGGACCCCACCTACCCCAGCCCCATGACACCGACCCTTGGGCCCCTGGGCAGAGCTCTGAGATCAGCATCTAGTGACAGCCAGGTGGGTCCCACGTGGCTTTGTGGATATCGCCCTTGGTTCCCACTGGGCGAGCCTGTGTCCTCTGGGCTCGGGCACCAGCACACACCGGCTGCACTCTCAAGGGGAGCTGGGGCCAGTGGGATGGCGCAGTCCCAGGAGATTCAGCGGCAGGTGCCCTGGGTGCTGCCATCCCCACGTGGCAGGCGGCGGCGGATACCGCGTGCCCAGGACACATTCATCACGCCTGCCTCCCTTCAGAGCCAAGACAGGACGGAAATGACTTTTGTCAGCTCTGCAGCAGCCCACTGCCCCTGGCAGCTCCAAGCTGTTTATTAAAAAAAGAGAGAGAGAAAGAAAGGGATGTGAATGTGCCACCTTGCTGTGTATGAGGGGAGCGGCTCCAAAGGGATGATGTTGACAAACAGCCCTGCAGGTGATCACACCGCAGCGCTCCAGCTCCCTGCCTGGCCCACGTCTAGCCGCGATGGAAATGGAAGGTGACGGGCAAGAAAGGGCGGGGAGCAGCTGCTCTGGACAAACGGCGTGGCTTTTGTTGGAGCCTCTCCCGGGAGCGATGAGACGCCGGGTCTCCCACCCGTGCACTGTCCTGTCCATCCTCCTGGGACCTCCTGTGAGGCTTTCATGGAGCACCGTAGGGGGGTGAGGCTCCAGAGAGCCAGAGGTTATCAGTAGTAATCGTAATGAGCGCTAACAGCTAATTATTGATGATTAATAGCCATTGATTATTGATTATTAATCACTCAGCATAATTGTTAAACATTATTTGAGGAGCCAGGTGCCAGGCACTAGGTCCAGGGCTGGTTCCACGATTCCAGCCTTTATGTGTAGGTTCTGACTCCTCTGTACTCATTCTCCTGGTGACAGAGCCACAGCGGAGACCTGCATCAACACCCCACCCCCACCTCAGGCTGAGCCTGGCCCCGGCCCCCAGGCCCACACTGACCCCAGGCCCACACTGACATTTCACGCCCCTTTTTGCTTTTTGTAAATTACAACTTTGCTGGTGGGTGAGAAGGAGGTGGTTTGTCTTACAGGGAGGACAAATAGATTTTGTTTGTTAAAGGACTGGTTGATGGACTCCAGTCTCTAGCTTTTAAGGCCCACCCTTCACTTTACAGTCTATGATTTGGTCTCACTGCCAAGATTTCCACTTCTCAGAGGCAGAGCAGTGTTGGCTGCAGCTGCCAAATGCCTCTGCCTGGCAGTCCCAGAATAGAAGGCGTCTGTCCTCTCTCCTGTATAGTGTTGGTTTCAAGTTGATTTCATGTAAATTTTTCCCTTTTGAAGGAACTTTTTTTTTTCCTTTCCCCTGCCCACCCTCCTTCCATGAAACAGTTGGGAACCTTACAGCACCTCATTCAGAGGCATATTCGGGTCACTGGCTCTCCTGAGCTCTGCTCTGTGGGGTTGTCCTCCCGGCTTGACCCTAAATAAGAAAATAACCTCCCGTTGGTCCCCCTTAAGTCTTCAAGAAGCAAATTAACTGTTTCCCAGCAGGCTGTGGGATGATAGGTCCTTCATGTCATGTGTGGTGCGTTGTCCGTCTAAGTCATCCATCAGAGCTGCAGTTTTAATCTGTTCAAATGTATTTAGCTGGGTTTAATTATAGACAGAAATTGCATTTCAGAAAGCAATGAGAAATCACTTGTGGCTGGAATTTGCCCATTAGAGCACGTGGTTCGTTGGAGAGTGCGGCGGGGACGGAGCGCGTTTCCAAAGTGAAACAGGATTAGCGTCCGCGCTCCAGAACCGATGGCACGGATAGTAAGGCTGGCACAGTGTGCGCTGACCTTGCTTCTATTCTTGGCGCAGGACCCACGAGGAGGCCGGCGATGGGGCCCGGGACGTCCGCAGCAGGACCTCGGGAGACAAGGCCACGTCCCCGCTCTCCCGCCGCCGGGGAACGTACGGCCACTTTGGAGATGGCGAAGAGTGCGGCATCCAGGGAAAGGCCCCCGAGAGGCCGGGAGCACCACCCTCCCCGTCTTCCCAGAGTGGAGATGCGTCCCCGCTACCGCGGGACAAGCTGCCCAGCCCGTCGGCCGCCCTGTCGGAGTTCGTGGAAGGGCTCCGGAGGCAGAGAGCGCAAAGAGGGCGGGGGTCGCCACTGGGCCTGGAGGACTGGCCCACGCTCCCCATCTACCAGACCACTGGGGCGTCCACTCTGAGGAGGGCCCGGGCGGGCAGCGACGAGGGCGCCCTGGCGCTGAGAGCCGGGGCCGGCTCACCCCTGGATGTGTCGGCCGGTCTCCCACGGTCCACCAGCCTCAAGTGCATCTCCTCGCAGAGCGTGGGGAGCCCCAGCCCGCCCCCTGAGAAGTTGAAGACCCGCTTCAGCTCCTGCGAGTCCCTCCTGGAGTCGGGCCCCAGCTCGTGGAGGACGCCCAGCTCCCCGGGGGCCGCGCGCAGGGACCCGCTCTCGTCGCCCACGCTGCGACCGCGGAGGCGCTGTCTGGAATCCTCGGTGGACGACGCAGGCTGTCCAGACCTCGGCAAGGAGCCTCTCGTCTTCCAGAACCGCCAGTTCGCGCACCTGATGGGGGACCCCCTGGGCAGCGACCCGTTCAGCTGGAAGGTCCCAAGCCTCAACTACGAACGCAAGACCAAAGTGGATTTCGATGACTTCCTGCCAGCCATCCGGAAGCCCGAGACGCCCACGTCCTTGGCCCGAGCGGCCAAAGATGGGCGAGACAGTTCACAGCATTCGAGCGTCCGCTTTGCGACAGAAGAGGCCGACCGGGGCTTTGTCTCCGGGATCGGCACCGTTTTGAAAAGGAGTCCGGAGTCCAGGGAGGACCCCGCTCACCTCTCCGACTCATCGTCCTCCTCCAGCTCCATCGTGTCTTTCAAAAGCGCCGATAGCATCAAGAGTCGGCCGAGAGCCCCCAGGCTGGAGGGCGACGGCGGCGAGCGGGCATCCCCCGAGAACAGAGAGCCGGGCGCAGGGAGGAAAGAGGAGGACGTGGAGAGCATCATGAAGAAGTACCTGAAGTAGGAACCGACTCAGGTAACAGCGACGGGCGGGCCGGCCCTCCGGGGGGATGAAACCAGAGGTCCACTTAGTCTGGCAGCCTGGATGCAACCAGGTGCTGCAACTGCCTGTAATGGTGTGACTCATTTCTCTAGAGAGGAGGGGTTTTAGAGATTTTTCGAAATACTGTGTTACTATTTATGCACTATTTATGCAAATAGTGTTGCTGATAGAGGCACAACTTAGAAGCCCTCCCTAGGAGCCACCGGATTCTCTGCTCCTTAAAATACAGCCAGGAAGTCTGAGGGTCCGGTGGGGTGGGGTGGGCAGATGCTGTAAGGTGGCCCCCGGCTCTTAAAGTCTCCCAATCCTTGACTCGCTGCGCGAGCCGAGAAGGCGTCTGTCCACACAGCGAGGGAAGAGCCCGGGTGGGAGGTGGGGAGAGGCCTTGACACGAGCCAAGTCCAGCCCTTGCACTAAGTGTGTAAAGAGAAACTGGGGCCTGAGAAGGGGGCGGGGGGACAAGTCCAGAGGTCCCGGTCTGCGCCTGACCCTGGCACCTCGCAGCAGCGGCAGGAAGACGTCCTCACTGCTGGCGGCGGCTCACGTTTGTTGAGTTTGTTTATCAGGTGGTCATTTGGTGCCCACGGTACCGCCGAGAGTGTAAGTATGATTTATCCCTGTCCTGCAGGTTGGCAGACAGAATCACACAGGTTAAGTCTCTTGTACAGACTCACCCAGGCAGAACTGGGACTCGAAACTCCACAGAGCCCGCATTTCTGTTGGTGTTGACTTTTCTCAGGCACATGCTCCAGGCCTGTTTGTGAGTCAGCTCAGAGGCACGCTGACGGAGCTGGGTCTTTAAGGGGGTGGCCTCTATCAAGGGCACACCGAGGCAGACCTCAGAATCATACATCTCACTGGGGGCTGGAACGCATGGGAAAGGGGGAGAAGGCCTCGAGGTCAAGGTCACCCAGTGAGTCTGCCACCCGCCCAGCCACGCTGACTCCCCAGTCAGGTGCTCATTGCCCCGAGGCCAGGCTGACCCCTCACTGCCCCTCTCGGGCCATGCTTCAGAACTCAAGGCTCCCGACTGAAATGGGAAGCCCCATCAGTCCGGCCGGGAGGACTGAGCGCCTCCCTCCGGGGTCAGGCACGCTGCCAACCTACAGCCCAGTTGCCATCTCCGAGTCACTGAACGTCGGAACTGCAGCGGCCAGAGGCTCAGTTGGTCGAGCGGCCCCACGTGGTGCTCAGCCCACACCTGCCTCCTTCCTGGACCCAAACGAGCCACACGTCCTGCCACTTCGGGAGTCACCCTCAGCCCATCAAAAAGCCATTGTGGAGATGGGCTTTGGATGGTATCAGAGCAAATTAATTTGACTTAACATGGCCTCTCTCTCTGCTCTCAATTACGAAGGAAAGATCTGATGTTCATTTACATTATTATGCTCTCGGGGACACAGAACTCGGTTTCAAAGGCCAAGTAAAGGGCACACGTCCAGAAGTGGAGCAGCCCTTAGCAGACATCCTCACAGAACATCTTGTCTCTGCCATTTTTTTTTTCTTTTTAAAGCTCAGCTCCTCTTCCCCGCTCCCAGCAATGCTCTCTGTGATAATGGAGTGCCTGCCTAAAACCCTCCTCCACTTTGACTTGCACACGGGTGTTGGGAGCTGACGGTACAGCCCTGTTGCCTGAGACGCAAGTGTGCTATAGGATTCAGAACCACTCCGCCCCCGGAGCTCAGGTCTTCCCTGTAACACCCACGTGATGAGACCTTGCTGAGCGTCTGTGTTCTCAGCTGGAAAATGGGAGTAGTGACCCCAACTACTACCCCTCAGTAGCACTGTGAGTGGGACGCCAATGAAAGACCCCAGCCCAGAGCCAGCACTTGCTGGCCGAGGTGCGTGTCAGGTACCTGCACTCAGAAGTGGTGGCCCTTCCGCATCTGTGTCTCGGGCACCCTCCACTTGTATCCCTTCTGCCCCCGGCTCCATGCTCATGCCTCCTGGCATCATTGCTTCTGTAACGCTACCTGGGAATGTGGGCTCCAGGGCTTCCACCCAACAAAACACACTCCTCGGGCCCCAGTTCTCAGCTCTGATCTGCATTTGTTTCCAGCTTCCTGGGACACACTGCCCTTGAAGACTTCCCGATTCCACAACTGTCCGGAGAAAGAGACAAAGACTGGCCAGGCCTCCCTGGGGGCCCCAGGTCCACAGCCAGTGTGGCTGCCCTCGAAAGGCCAGGGGGCCCAGCTGCGGCACATCCCGAGGGGTGTAGGGCTCTCAGCGTGCTAGGTCTGTACCCAATAAAGCATTGGCTCCTTGGAATCTGCGCTGTCTCTCTATTCTATGATCACATTACCTGGGACTCTGGAGGGTTGATGGGGTGCAGCTTGAGGTAGTAGGGAACCAACACAAACTGTTTATAGTTTTGGGTGCATACTGGTGTTTCTGTCCCTCCATATTTACACACAGTGGCCTTGATCCTCTTCACTTGGCCAAGTTCAGCCCTCAGGTGTCACCTCCTCCGGGAAGTCTTCCCTGATACATCAAACTCATCAAACTGAAACAAATGCTCTTTCTTCATTCTTCTCTAATTCCCTTGCTTACCTCTATCCTATTTCCCTTGTCTATTTATGTGTCTCCATTGTGTGTATGGGCATTCAAGAAATTCTGATGAACTAATAAATGAACAAACGAATGAACCACAGAACTAGTCAGTAGCTCAGACAGCCTGAGTGCCCGTGGCACATTGACGTGTATGCATCCCTGCAGATGTCCGCCTTAGCAGCACTCACGGGCTGTGACCTCTGCTCTCACGGCCCGTACTCCTCCTCACGTACTCATCCGACCGCCCACACATGACACTGCACTTGTACCAGAAACTACACTCGCACAGGCGCACTTCCCGCCCGGACACCTGCTTTTCCAAGCATCCTCGCAGTGTCAGTAATTCTAAAGCTGTAGGCTGATGCTTACTGACCACATACTGTGTGCTGGCCATGGTGCTGGGCATTTTACACGGTGAATCTCCCTTCTACTTTATAAAAAGTCCCAAGAGATAAAGCAGCTTTTTTTTTTTTCTATTCACAAAGGCAGAACTAGCTTATGCCTGCCTTCAGGTGGCCGGTGCCACTGCTCTGTAAGTTCTCAGTGGCATGTACTCCACGCCCAACCCTACGTGTGTCTCTATTCCTAGGATGACTCTAGCGCAGCCCATCACAGCTCTCATCAGAAAGGAAAGTCCTCTTAGGATCCCCCGCGTGTTAGTCTGCTGTAACAAAGCCCCTCAAACTGGGTGGTCCAAACAACAGAGACTCACTGTCTTGAAGTTCTAGAGGCCAGAAGTCTGAAATCAAGGTGCTGGCAGCACTGGTTCCTTCAGAATATCTTAAAGGACTCACTCTTGGTTTGTACGTGGCCATCTTCCTTGGGTGTATGTCCATCTCTGTGTCTCAGTGTCTTCCTTTTATGAGGACACCAGTCATATATAGTAGGCCTCACTCTGACTTCTAACTAGTTACCCATGCAGAGACCTTATCCCTACATAAAGTCACATTCTGAGCTACTGGGGGTTAGGGTATCTGGGGTGGAGGTGAGGGGCAGGAGACACAATTCAAGCCCTAACAACTTACCAGCTAGCACTCAGTCCGAGATGGGGAGATCTCTGCCTATCCTCATAGGGGGCTCTGGGTACAAGTGGGAAAGAGGAGAGATGGGGAAGGAGGGAAACTGACCAGACAGCCTCCCAGGAGACCTTGACATCTTCCCGTCTCTCTGGGGGAGCTTTCAGTGGAAGAGTGAACTGTGCTTTCTGGGATGCCGCGCGTCTCCCGCTTGGTGAGCCTGTAGACAAGTATTAACACATTGTATATTTATATACATTTAAGGAGCATCCTTCACCAGCCTGCCTCACAGGAGTGGCCCCAGCTCACCAGAGAGAGCTAGGGGCAGGCAGAGGGAACGTCTGAGATCTCTGCAGGGAATCAGAGGCCCTGGCCAGGAAGAGGGTGCAGCTCCGAAGCTCGTGACGTGTGGGTGTGAGGGGCCAGAATGAGAGCAGGCAGGGCCCGGCGTCCTCCTCCAGTAGAACCCGTGGAACCTTGGGAAAGCCACTCCCCTAAGTGGGCCTGTTCCTGCGTCTCTGCTGGGGTTGAGAGATGGACAAGTGTTGCAGGCTGTGCTAGTTTGCTAGAGCTGCTATAACAAAATACCACAGACTGGTGTGGGGCGAGCGGGGTGTGGACAGCAGGAATTTATCTTCTCAAAGTTCTGGAGGCTGGCCTCCACGATCAAGGAGTCGGCAGGTCTGGCTGCTGAGGCCTCGTTCCTTGGCTTGCCAATGGCCACTGCCTCGCTGTGTCCTAACACGTCCTTTCCTCTGTGCCCACGCATCCCTGGTATCTCTCTGTGTCCATATCTCCTCCTCTCATAAAGGACCCGTTTCCCTGGTGACTCAGCTGGTAAAGAATCCACCTGCAATGCAGGAGAACTGGCTTCGATCCCTGGGTTGGGCAGATCGCCTGGAGAAGAGAAAGGCTACCTACTCCAGTATTCTGGCCTGGAGAATTCTACAGACTGGATAGTCCATGGTGTTGCAAAGAGTCGGACATGACTGAGCAACTTTGAGTTCACCTCACTTCAAAAAGGACCCCAGTCAGAGTGGATCAGGGACCAGCCTCAAGGCCTCACTTGATCTTAGTCACGACTTTAAAGGCCCCTTCTCCAAATGCAGCCACCTTCTGAGGTTATGGGTGTTATGACTTCAACATATGAATTGTGTAGAGGTCACAACTGAGCCCATAGTGCATGCTATGCCAAAGAAGGTGGTGAGTTTTTTTATTAATTAGTTTATTAATAATGACCATTATTACTCATGTGTCAACTGCATAAATATGTCCCAAGCACCCAGCTTGGTGCCCAGACAAAAGCAACTGTGGAAATCCGGAATAAAGGTTCACCCAGGCTTCCTGGCATTGGAGTCTTGCAGACATTTTAAGGCCTGGAACCTATGAGTG